GGGGAGAGAAGGGGCGGTAACTACAGTAGAGTCTGTGTTGCCTGCGGGAGCTGGCAACTCAGCAGGCTCTGCTGGGGCTGCAAGAGGTTCATACCTGTTGCAAAGCTCCAATGGGGCAGGGGCCTTGGTGTGGCGGGCCTTGGGGCTCTTAACCACCTTGGTCCAACCTATGAGCTAGACCGTAAGGAAGGTCCCTGAGTCCTCCCTTGTCCTGGAGGGAGACCATGGTCTACCCTCCACCTCCCGGGGGAGAAGGGCCTGGCAGTAGGAGTCAATCTCCTGCTCACAGTCCCTGATGGCACGCAGTCTCTGGACTGTGGCCTGGAGCTCCTCAAGCTGGCGTGCCAGAGACCCCAGTAGGCAGCAGACCCCACAAGGGGAGGTGGCCATGCTCCCGTATCCCAAAGCCTGAAAAAGCGATAGGCAGCCCCTGCAGCTGAGAGCCAGAGGCTCTGTCCGTATGGAGCCCAGGACCATGGGCTCCGTCTGGGTGGAGGCCTCTGAGCAGCCATGGGTGGGTAAGGGCCACAGACCCTGAGGGGACCCTTGGGGTGCAGCATGTGCCCATCTGCGTCATGCCACTGGTAGGCTGGCTGCGGCTGAGACTGGCTACTCTGGGGGGGTCACAGGTGCGCGGGGTGTGAGCCAGGTTGTGGCTATAGCCCCGGTGAGTTCTATCCCCTGATGTTAGTTTGCGCGAGGGAGAGGTAGACTCGTAACGGTTCCAGAACGTTTTATTTGATTTCTTACTTACGTACCACCGGTGTGGATGTGGCTGTGCAGGTGGTTACACTTGGATCTGAATCTGAGACTGAAAATGACGATGAACAAAAGATACGAACGGTAAGAAAAGATACGAAATAGTGACGAGATACGAACGAGTGCGCGAATGCCGGAGGCAAGATAGGCCGTGGGAGGCTGGCCAGGCCTACCCACTGAGCGGTGACTGCCTTGGCTTCTCCCCACTGCGCGGTGAATTTTCCTCCCCCCCCCCCCCCCCCCG